TGAATGGGCATAATAGTAACATCATCCCTCACAGACATATGCTTTATATCTGTGGGACATAAAATATATGCTAGCTAAGATTAATGGTTTAAAAACATTTCAAAGTGTTATGTAATCATCATCACAATCAATTTTAGGACATTTTCTTCATTCTCGTACTCATCAAATAAGCTACCCATTTCACCACTATCTCCTCTGCCACCCCTTTAAGAAACTATTCATCCGGTTACTGTCTATACCGTTTTCTCTCCCCTGGGTAAGAAAATCATACCCACAAAACATCAACAGCAAGAACACATTGAAAAATCTCAAGAAAAAAGAAAGCAGAAAATAATAAAAATAAAACAAACTTTAAATGGGTCCAAAGGGAAAAGAAATGATACAGTATAACATTTTAACCTAACTCTATGTGCATTAGTCCACTTGCCAATGCACTCTGTCTGGAGGCAAGGCTATTCACGTCCCTGGTCAATGGTCAAGGGAATTCAGTGGAGGCTTAATCCACATGGGGCTTCTGCAAAAGACTTTTGGGTGTTCCCTGTCAGCCAGAGCCTTCTGGAAACCAGCTCGAATACAATTTCCTTCCTACCATCTTGAATTATATTATTGACAACCCTGAGACCACACAGGCAGCTGTGCTTTTACAGGTGGATTTAGATCAGTGGTTATCAACCTGAGGGTCACAACCCCTTTGGGGGTTGAACAACCTTTTAACAGGGGTCACCTAAGACCATTGGAAAACACGTGAATATTTCACAATATATAATTATATATTGCTTTGTGATGAATCACTACGGTTTAATTAAGTTCAATTTGTAACAATGATAATATGCTCTGCATATTAGATATCTACATTATGATTCATAACAGTAGTAAAGTTACAGTTACAAAGTAGCAATGAAATAATTTTATGGTTGGGGGTCACCACAACACGAGGAGCTGTATTAAAGGATCATGGCACTAGGAAGGTTGAGAGCCACTGATGTAGGTCATACCTCACTTAGATGGCTGATTATTTTAAGACGAACTTTTTAAGAGTCCAGATGTTATTCTTTATGCTAGCCAGACCCCATCTGTGTTCTTCACCAAGCTTGGCTATATCACCCATATCTTCATGGGTCCTTTTAGGAGGGTAAATAATGAGCTGGGCCACTTCATAAAAGCCGATTGTTCTTAGATGAAAGCTAAAATTACATAGGAGTTCAAAATCCATTCATACATCTAAGCCTTATATTGGTTCCTACTCCACTGTAATGGCAGCACTATCAGATTTCTGAGAGATAATCTAAGGAACCTCCATGGGCTCGTTGGTAATTCTAATTAGAAAACATAAAACCAAACTCACTGCCATTGAGTCAATGCTGACTCATAGCCACCCCAACAGGGCAGAGTAGTACTGCCGCTCTGAGTTTCCAAGACTGTAACTCTTTACAGGAGTAAAGTCCCATCTTTTCCTGGTGGTTTCTAACTGCTGGAAGTCAGCCTCCCAGTGCACACCACTATGCCACAAGACTCCTAATTAACGGTATCATTAAACTAGAAGCTAGCTATTCTTATTTTAACTCATATTTACAGGTATAATGCTGAAAGTTTCTGCATTTTAAAAATTCTAAAACCCCTTCTCCCATGCCCCTAAACACTGTATAACTTCTAACATTATCTTTTATCTTAGCTCCTTTTCCTTGCTCATTCAGCTCCATCCACACAAATTCAAGAGCCTCTCAGGCCTTCATAATGACTGCTCTCTCTGTCGGGAGCCGACTTTCTGCCCTTGGATTAGCTAACTCCATGTAGTCTGGAACTCTGCGGTTGACACTGTTCTCTTCCAGTGGTGAAAGATGAGATATAAACCTGCTACAATGAAATAAATTTTAATGATAAATTAATTAACTAGAGTAAAGGATCAAGAGGGAAGACATCGGATACGATGACATAGAAAAAGTGTTCAGATAACTTCATGTTCAGCACGAAGAGAGAGTAGAAACCAGCAGCTTCTTCAGGAGGCGTGCACTGCGGAGCTGCAGCACATGCTCAGTTTCCATGATGGTTTGCTTTGTTGGTTCTGTGACCGAGCTATACAGATCAGGGATATTTGGGAAGAAATTCATATTGGTATATTAACTAAAGATTTCTTCTTTCACTTTGAGAAGAAAGAAAGGGTAAACTTCTCTCTTTCTCCATCCATTAACTAAGAAAGAATACCATGATTTTATAAAGTCCTTGTCACAAGAAAAAAATAGTTTTTTGGGGTGTGACTGGTTCCAAAGAACAGGAAGTTTATACACAACCCCGTGGCAGACTGCCTCGCCCTAGATCTTCTTCATACTCATTTCTGTGCTCGGTATCTTGTTGGAGCCGCTGTACCCTTCCATTCATGGAACGTCTCCCTCTTTGTCACTGACCCTCCACTTTAATGAGCATGACGTCTTTCTCCAGGGACTGACCTTTCTTGATAAGGTGTTCAAAGCACCTTTGATAAAAGACTCATCCTCTCTGCTTCCAAAGAATATTCTAGTTGTACTTCTTACAAACCAGATTTGTGAGTTCTGGTAGTTCATGATAATTTTGGTATTCTTCACTAACATCTTATTTAAATGCATCAATTCTTCTCTGATCTTTCTTGTTCATAGTTCAGCTTGCAGACACATATAAAGCAATGAAAATATCATGGCTTGAATCAGGCACACTCAATTCTCAAAGTAAAATCATTGCTCTTTACCATTTAAAAAAAATAACAGTTTCATTGGCATATAATTCACATATCATAAAATTCAATAGTGAAATCACATCAAGAAGAGTTGTACAACCAGTTTTAGAAGTGAGCAAATTATATTCGTATCTGTGTGCATGTGTGCTTTAATTTCTCCTGGGTCAATACCTAGGAGTGAACCTGCTGAGTTCTAAGAGTGGATAATGCTTCCTTTTATGACAACCTAGCAGACTCTTTTCCAAAGTGGTGGTCCTCTAGCAACAATGCACAAAACTCATGCACAAAAATTTGCTCTGTGTTCTTGGCGACATATGATGCTATCACTCTTTTTGATTTTGGTCATTCTGTTGGGTGTACAACAATCGTTTATTGTGTTTTTAACTTGCTTTCCTTTGATGACTTAATTCACTGCACATATTTTATATGCTTCTAGTGTTGTTTTGTTTTTGTTTCATTTCAATGATTTTGTATTTACGCCAATTTTCTTTTTCCAACAGTTTTATTGGAAAGAGGCCTTTCACTGCAGATTTCTTAATATAAACCTTTGTTTAATGTCTAATTCATGAGCATTGAATGGGAATTCAAGTAAAATGAAATGCTTGATAGTTTCTGTGTTTTCTGTTTATCAGAATATTGCTTATTTTTCCACTTGTGAAGATTTTCTTCTATTTAGGGTGAAGTGTAATCTGTATTGAATACTGTAGTCATTATCGTCATTGGTAGTATGTACAAACAATGTAATGTCATTTCACATGAGTCTTCCTCCAGTTCTGTTGTCCTCTTCTTCTGGACTTAATCTCACCTGTCAGGTTATTTATTCAGCATATGACTTGAGTATGATGAAAAAACACAACCCAAATACATGGCTTTCCTGACTTTGAACTCCACAGTGTCCCCTTGTTCTGCTCAAACATTGCCCATTAGTCTAGGCTTCGGTGCCAGTGAACACAATTAAGTGTTATGGAATTCCCATTCTTTAAAAGTTATTTATAATTTCTCATGCTCCACACAGTTGAATGCATTTGTATAGTCAATAAAACAGAGATACGCTTCCTTCTGATAATCTCTACTTTAGCCAAGACTCGTCTGACATCCACAATAAAGGAGCTTCAGAAAATTCATGGAAAAAGTCCATTATCTTTTCATTTAAAATTTCCTGCATCCCTTGGATGGCTCTTTTATACTTTGTCTTGATCTGAGATGAAGTTTAATTTTCTCAACAATAAGATTTATCAAAAGTGATTGTTCTATGAACAAAAGAATGCCTTCACCAAGGTTGTTTTTGTTTTTGTTGTTAGGTGCAATCAAGCCAGTTCCAACTCACAGAGGGCAGGAGCCCATTGTTCCACCATGGAGTCAATCCATCTTGCTGAGGGCCTTCCTGCTTCCACTGCCTCTCTACTTTCCCAAGCATGCGGTCCTTCTCCAGGGACTGCTCTCTCCTCCTACCATGTCTAAATGTAGATATGGATATATCTAACCCTTTTAATGGATATAAATCCAAATGTTTAAATTTCTATATGTAATTCCAAATGCTAAAAAAAAGCAAAAACAAAAAACCTTATACAATGAAATGGTTAGCTAGTGAATAATGATCTGTAGATGTTTCAGGTGATTTTACATTAAAGACCAGGTAAAGCTGTTAGTGTGTTTTTCCTTGTGTCAAATTACCTTAGCAGAATAAACATGTACTTTGGATATGTTGTGAGTCGGCCATGACTCAATAGCAGTGAGTTTGGACGTGTGATCAGGAGAAACCACACTCTGCAGAAGGATATCGTGCGTGGTCAGGTGGAGGGGCACTGAGAAACAGGAAGAAGACCTTTAACGAGACGGACTGATACAGATGGGCTGCAACACTGGACCCAAATGTAAGAGCAATTGTGAGGACAGTGCAGCATTTGGCAGCATGTTGTCCATGGGGCATCGGAATGGACTTGATGCCACCTAAGAATGCTGACAATCTCTATTAAAATGTGGTATACAGAAGATAAAAATATGATAAGGCCCAAACAACACGCTCCTGAATCTCTCTGAAACTCATGAAACTCGGGTTCAAATACAAAAGGACCCCTGTTTGAATAAATTACCGTGTTGTTCCTATAAGCGAATGAAATTGTAAATGTAGTTGAGTTTATACTCTACTGCAAGTACTATACTATACTATACTATACTATACTATACTGCAAATGGCTAATCAAATGTTTGATGTTATTTCACCTGATGCTGGCATTTATTGATTAAATATTCAACATCATTATTTGACATTTTACTCTTTCAAAATACTTACTGGTATAGACAAGTTGAAAGCCTTCATCTGTCCCATCAGCATCAGAATTAAATTCTAGCCAGAGCTGATTGGAAGTACTACTGAGTGTCAGTCCGCGCATTGATGCACCGGTAAAAGCACCCAGCAAATGAGTTGTTTTATCTTTTCCATCATAAATCTGCAAATACATTTATAATGAGAATGTAAATATGTAAAAAGTAATCATCGAAGCATTTACATGTATCAACGGACAAAAAGGTAATATTGTTAAATTAACTATAATCTTCTTAAATCAAATCAATGTTTCTAATGACTAATAAGTCCATTACTTTCTAGGAACTAATATATTAAAAAAGGCTACAAAAGGTAGACCCCATATGAAGAATTTCAAAATTCTAAGTTAAGTGAACTCTATATATTTCTCAGATTCATTTTATATAACTTTTGTTCATTATTTAAAAGTACTTTTATTATACATCAGTTAATATTTATATCTACAAGTAAATTGTTTTCAAGATTGTTTGTATATTTACATTTTTGTTTGTTTTGTTTTTTTAATTTTTCAAGGGTAACAATATTCTCATTCAACTCCGGGTATAACTTCGGTTCAAGCTCATACAATTTAACCAGAATGCACAATATTTATACGAGAAAAAATATAATCATATGGTAAACACTAAAAACTAATTGGGTTTTCTTTTATCAATAAATTATAGGCATCTTACACATACATCTCTTTAGGTCAAGATATACAGATTCTTACTTTTGAAAGTTCTATAATATATAATAAGGAACCCAAAATGCTATCATAAATTGTTCTATCATGCCCATATTCAGAAATTCCTTTTTTTAGTTATTTTTTCCAATACAAGTAATTCTAAAATAAACTTCTCTCTCTCTCTAGATATACAGGAGCCCTGGTGGAGTAGTGCTCAAGCATTGGGCTGCAATCCACATGGTGGGCAAGTAGAAGCCACCCGCAGCTCTGCAGGAGGAAAAGTGGGCTTTCTACTCCCATAAACACACACACACACACACACACACACACACACACACACACACTGGTCAATGTGTGTCAGCATTGACCAGATGGGAGTGAAGTGTCTTGTTTCATTTTGTTTTAATTTGTTTACCTCTATATATACCAAACTATTTGCCTTCAAATTGATTTGACGATTGGTGAATTCGTAGGTGGCTGAGTAGAAATTCGTAGGTGGCTGCTCCATATGGTTTTTAAAAGTTTTTTTTTCCTCCTGAGATTCCTCAGGTTGTACAACAACTGCAAATGTTTGGGTTACCAGCTGAGGACTTAAATGTTTGTACCATCAAAAGTCAAATCTTTTAGATATAACTTTATGTTTCGGGCCTCCAATTTTCTGTCAGTTTGTCAAACTGTGGTGGATTGCATGTTGCAGTGATGCTGGAAGATACACCACAGGTATATTTTGAGCACCAGCAGAAGTACTGAGAGTGAACAGGCTTTAGCAGAGCTTCCAGACTAAGCATCGGTAACATAATAGACAGAGTCTGTCCATTTCTGAGAAGTTAGCCACTGAAAACGTTATGACTGGCAGTGGAACACTCTCAGACTGTGAGGACTTAGTGAACAGCAGTGGAGCTCTGTCAGATGAAATGCCAGAAGAGGAGTCCCTCAAGTGGGAAGGCACTGAAAGATGACTGAGGCAGAGCTGCCTCCTCAAATAGAGCGGTGCACAGAGGGGCAGACGGAGTCACGCCTGTAGAAAGAAAGCCTCTGGGACCTTCATTGCTGATGTGGCACAACTGAAAATGAGAAGAAACAACTGCCACATCCACTAGGAATTTAAACTTGAAACGCACAAAGCATGTATCTAGGATGTTGTCAAAAGTGAAATGGAACACACAAAATGTGACATTCTCGGCTTTAGTGAGCTGAAATGGGCAGGGAAGGGCCATTTTGAATCAGAAAATAATACTGTTTACTAGCTGGGAATTTTGCATTCAAAAGGAATACTGACACATTCATCATCTAAAAGGACATTTCAAAATCTATCGTGAAGTACAATGCTTTCTGTGACAGAATTATATCTATATACATGCAAAAATGTTAATAAGATGATTATTCAAATTTATGCACCAACTACTGAAGTTAGTGATTAAGAAATTGAAGAAGTTTGCCAATATTTTCAGTCTGAAATTGGTCAAGCACGCAATGAAGGTGCATTGATAATCATTGGGTTTGGAAATGAAGAAGAAGGAATAACAATTGGAAAACATAGTTGATGTCAGAAACAGAGCCAAATATCTCATCAAACAATTTTGTAAGACCAAGGACTCCTATATCACACACACTTTTTTGGAGAAAACCACAAAAGGCTATGTACTGGACAGATGGACTTTTCCAAATGAAATACAAAGAAGCCACAGTGACTACATCAGTGGGAAGAGACAATGGAGAAGTTCAACACCAGTAGTGAACCTCACCAAGGGCTCACTACGGACCAAAGTGTCAGTTTGCTCATATTAAGTTCAGGTGGAATCTGAAGAAAATGTAGACAAGACTACATGTGACAAAATACAATCTTGAGTGTATCCCACCAGAATATGGAGAGTACCACAAAAACAGACATTGCATTGAACATGAATGACAGATGAGCTGTAGTGGTATAACATCAGGAACATCATACATAAAGACAGCAAAAATTCATTCAGAAGACAGGGGGAAAATGATCAAGGGGCATGTCAGAAGAGACCCTGAAACGTGCTCTTAATTGTAGTGACATAACTTCGTGTCAACTTGAAGGTATTAAGAGTGAGGGGGTGGAGTCTAGCTGTCTATCAGGTCACAGCTTGATAAATCCTCCTTGTGGGCATGGCCTTCTCCTGAGGATTCTGGGAACTTCTCGCTCTCTGCCTTCGTCTTCCTATGGACAGGTCATGCTGAGACTTGCTGAGATCGGTGAGAGCACATTCTCTCTGCTTGATCTTCCTGGTCAAGAGCAACACTCAAAGAGCTGAAGGAGGCATGCAGAAACCCCCACCAGCGCTGAGATGCTTTCACCACCACCAGATCCATAAGACTTTTCACCCAATGGCCCGTGATCTTCCTGCATTTGGAATCATTGCATATACTTCATGAGTCTGAAGAGGAGTTTTTGGACTAATATCGGACATATGGGCTGATATTGGACTTATGGACTTGACCTGGACTGAACTGAGATGTTTTTCCAATGTCCAATTGATCTTTAACATAAGGCCCTCTCTTACACACCTATGAGTGTCTCTGGATTTGTTTCTCTAGTCAACCCGGACTAACACAGTAGCTAAGGCAAATGAAAGAAATATTGATGTCAAAGAGATGAACAGAAAATAAAGCGTGCAAATACCTGCAGTTAGAAAAAAATAAAATAAAACACAGGGCATGCTCAGCATCTCAACCTTACAGAACAGCAGAAAAACGTCAAGCCTTGAACCGCAATGTTAGAGGATTATATGGGCAATATATTGAATAAGGCAGGAAGCACCAAAGAAAAAGGAAGGAATACACTGTTCCTAAATCAATAAAAACTAGTAAACATTCAGACATTTCAAGAAGTAGCATATATCAAGAACTGATGATACTGAAGGAAGAAGTCATTGTTACTATTCTCTATTCATGCTTTTTATTTTCCAACCAGAACTATTATCTGCTTATTCTGACTCCAAAGCTCCATTGAATTATCTTATATTTTGTCTCATAAAATTTTTCACTGCATCTATCCTTCATATTGTGAGAAATCTTCCACTTTATTTCCATGTTAGCAATTAGAATTTCAGCAATGAATACTTTTGATAGGTTTTCTTATTAAAACCTTAAATTTTAAAATCATGGGTAAGTTCTAAAAATTCTGTGTATGTGTGTGTACTCTAATCATAACATCTTGAGATTTATTAGAATTTTAAGATTAGGATCTAATATACATTTAGTCCTTCTGAAAGGTAGAATGATTAGTGATAAAGGGTGTGGTCTCCACCAAATGGTGACACTAACCAAAAATTCGCTGTCCAGGCCACCATGAAGGGGTTGGAAAGAAATCAGGCACATGTTAGACACCTATGGAGACAATCCGAAGCTGCACATGCTCAGACCAAGGTCACTTAGACACAGGTGAAGGTCAACCTGGGCACAGTGCTAGGCACCAGCAGCATTACATTACATATGCACCTGAACTGAACCACTAAGTTCGGCCAATACCCTCCACCATGGGTTCCTGGCCCCACTAAGGGCAGGATTCTCTGTTTCAGGTGCTCTCTATTCAGGTGAGAGAGTGGGATCTTTCCCGTGTGCAAGGTATGCACATGTGCACCCTCCCAAGGCACTCTCTTCTTTTATTTGGTTCTCTTTTGGTTCCGTGGACTCCACTTTCCAGCCATTATTCCATTTTTCACTACCTTGAAATGGCCATCTTGAGTCATGAACTCTCCCACGCCCTGCCATTAGGTCCTGCATGCTGCCCAGGGATATCTTGTACTGAGATGGCATTACCCCAAACTTCCCTATCCCTCATCAAAGTTACTTGAATTGACAAGTGCTTCTGCCAAATGAATTCTTTCAGCTTTGAGAAGGAAGAACGGAGGCGAACCATCCCAGAAACCGAACATTTTCTATAGATTAAATTCCGTAATTATCACACGTTTACTGCTCTGCTTGATTTTTTTTTTTTTTTCCTGTCTGGTTACTGAATCCCGTAAGTGTGTTTTTATTTATTATTAGGTAGTCAAGGGATTTCATTTTCTTATTAGGTAAACAAGAGCTCTGGCAGAATAAGGGATTATTCTTTGAGGTGCTAATTACAAAGTCAGTGGTGAAAGCCTACCAGTCATTCCAGGGAGAAAGATGAGACTGTCTACTCTTATAAAGATGCAGATCTTGGAAACCCAAGGGGCAGTTAGTTCGACTCTGTCCTATAAGGACTCAGTCCTATAAGTCAGAACTGACCAGTGAGTCTGGTCCTAGTATACAGTTAATCAGGCTGTTAAGCCTCCCGAAGCAGTGTTAAATGAATAGCCCGTGAAAGATCCAGAAAGCTCAGCTTTTGTGGGCCAGCAGTGAATTTGCAAAAATAACCCTTTTTCAGAATTATAAGAAGAAAGCTTCTCTTCCTCCAGTTTCTCTTCCACACAAGTAGCAGCATTTTCTCTACACTGCAGATACCTGCA